ACATTGTTTGGCAGAAATCACGTGGCCCTGAGCTTATTCTCAGGTTCCCCAGTCAGCTGGGCAACTCCTGCGGAAGGGACTCCACAGCCAGCCATGCAGGGCAAGCGGGGAGGGGGACTGGGACAGTCTGAGTTTTAGGAGATCTATCAGGACAGTGACTCACCGCTTAGTTAGATTTGAAAACATCTCTTCCTTGCAATTATGAAATGTATGTTTACTTTTTAAATATTAGAAAAAAAATTATTTGTTATCTTACCATCCAGGAATAGCCAGGACTACTTTACATACTTCTTTTCAATCTTTTTAAAAAGTGTGAACAAAGTTATTACTATTATTATATTTTGGTGGCTGGCCAGTACAGGGATCTGAACCCGTGACCGTGGTGTTTTAACATGGCACTCTAACCAATAAACAAAATTATATGTCATACAAAATTGGGATTGAACTGTACCTGGTGTTCTGAACCTTCATTTTTCACTTATGTTTGGGCATTTCTCCACATTTTAAAATTCTCTAAAAAGGCTGTTGCACTCCTGGGTTGGCCTGCAGTCCTGCAAGGCCCTAGCAAGAGCTTAGCTGGTGGACAGAAGAGCCACTGCACAAGGAGGAAGACGGGGCTGAGAGAAAGTTTCAAGGATGCGGCAGGAGCGCCCAGCTCTCAAGCTGTATTTACTGAATACCTGTTATCCAGGCATTCAGCCTCTCACTGCATCTCTGGGTACTAGATCCAATTGCACCTTTGGGAGGAGGCGATGAGAATCCTACTGGGGAGAACCACCTGTTCTCACACCCATGCTCTCATGTGGCTCCTACTTGAATCCTAACCTTGCAGTCACCAAATTTCCTCTCCAGGGCACATGGAGCTGTACTGTCTTTCAGAACCTGTCTGGGGAGCACCTGGGTCTCTGAAGGCCTTTGCCTGTTCGGGGGACACACACCTAGTGCATCTTTAACTGAACGAGGGTTTGGGGATGGAAAAACGAACACCACACGGAGTCTCTGGATGGTGACCTGTTGTCCTGCCCCCCAGATCTCAAGCCAGGCAAAGTGCAGTGGTTGTCCAGAGCTGGCCCCACACCAGGCCAGGCTCAGTAAAGACACTGGCCATAGTTTCTGGGGCTGGAATGTCTCCTCCCAGTCACTCAGCCTTGACAGTTAGCCACTGCACCTGATTCTCCCTTATTCCCTTGTATCAAACAGAGGGAGTTTTTCTTGGCAGAATAGTGAGAAAACTTGCAGCACAGAGAAGGCCCCCGAGAGTGTGGATATCAGAGCCTTCCCAGGGTCTCTGAGAGGTGGATTCCTGGCAGTGAATCTGCAGGAAGATCCCATGCTGGGACTCTACTGCCAGAGAGGTGGCAGGGCTCATATGGGTGCCCTTGAGGTCATGGGGACTAGAGCATCATCTCCTATCTCCCTGCCAGGTAGCCAGCTCCGGGAAGCTCTGGACCCCTCTGCCCAGCTTGGAAAAGGGCTTCCTTTCATTTCTTAGCCAGTGTTGGGTTTCTGTCCTCATTGTCATGCCAGCCCCCACCACTGAGTCCTGCACCAACTACAGCCTGCTCACACCCCAGCTGCTCACAACCAACCAGGCAGAAGCACACATTTGCGACCCAGTCAGCTCCCTGTCCCTCCCCAGGGAAAACATGCCAGCAGGGCCCACAGGAGGCACGGCTGCTGTGAGCAGAGGCTGGTCACAGGCCTAGTCAGATCCCACTCAGAGGCCCTGCCCAGAACACACTGTGGGCTGTAGAAGAGAGCATACCAGCACTTCATCCACACACTTCACAATCTTCAAGCAGAAACAGCAAGCAGATTATGGACCAGGACGATCACCCCAGTAGGATTAAGCTCAGAGTATCCCAGAGGACCTCTGGTGCTCCTCCCCCAACAGGGCAAGCGAGGCAAGCGTGCTTCCTGTGAGTTAATGCAAGAAGAGGTGGGAGGAAGGGTGAAGGAAGACAGAAAGATGGGGTCATTCCCTTTGGTCAGGAAAATGAAGAGAGCCTGCTGTAAAGCACACTGCCTCTTTTTGGAACTAGGACTGGGGAAGGCCAACACAGAGGAGGGACCAGCAGGTCAAACACAGTGTTTGTACTGAGAGTAAAGCTGCATGACTTCTAGTCTTCCCTTTACTCCCAAACACGCTTTAGGCAAAGCAGAGCTTCAGTAAACAGCCAACCCGAGAGGCAGAGAACCTGGCCTCTAGCTCGGGGCTAACTTGAGTCCAGACTCTTCTTTATTTCTGATAGCTTAAGAGACAGGCCTACGGAAGGGATCCAGCAGCATTTTGGCTCACAGGAGATCAAGCAAGTGGCACCCAGCCTGTAACGGTTCCTCCAGAGGCTCTGATCAGTGTGGCCTTTTTCAGGCCACCATTTACCTGCCCTGGGCTGTGGCACGACGTCACAGCCAGGATTCTGGTCTCCAACTCCAGACACAATCACTGATGTACTTCTGCAAACCGGAGCTGTCCGGTCTTGCAGGGTAACCATGTAAATAAGCCTGCTGCCAGGCAACTGAAGACAGGGACATGAACAAAGACGCCCCATTAGGTTTGAAAAACAAATTTGCTCTCGGGAAACCCAGCCCAGGTGTCTGGATGCCGGTTTGAGAACAACTTGAAGTTTACGACGTTTACTTTCCGCTTTCACTCCTTTTCCTCCACTACTAGAGCGCCATCCTCCGTTCCGTGTGCCGAGTCCTGCCTCCTTCCTCCTCCCTCCAACGGCTGTCGACCCCTGTACCGCACCGGAGAGACGGACGGCGCTCGACGCTGGTTCCCAGGACAGGAGCACTTCCGCCACTGTCCGGCAGCGGGCGAGCAGCTCCGTCCTCCCCAGCCCAGGGAAGCTCCACCTGCGCAGGGGCTGAGCCGGAGGGGGCTCTTGGAGCTGACTTCCCAGCCCAGAGTTCCGGGTCCGGGGCAAACTTGGGTCCGCGGCGCCCTCGGGGACGGGCGGGCTCCCCCGCGCCCCGGCCTGCTCCCCGCGGCCCCGCCCCACACTCGGCGGAGCAGGCGGGGG